AATTCGACTTCTCTAAAAATAGTTAGTCATATACTGAAAAGCTATCCTGAATAAAATGCTCTTCCTCCCTCAACTCGTTGTGCCACAGGATCAAAACAGAATTGCACATCTTGAAACGTGGTATCATTATTATATAATGCCTGCCCCAAATTGATGTTTGTGATTAAAGCATACTGAGTAGTCATATACTTATACTGAAGTCGGTCAATAGGAATTAAACATGGTCTTCATTAAGTATGATCTGTCAGTGATATGCATGATATAGTCAAGATTTATTACAAATGCGTGATAATCAGAAACATGTTATATCATTTCTGAGACCGAAATGTATCCGTTTAGAAGTCATACGAATTATTATTAACTCTCAAGAAACAAAAACTATCGTACAGAAATGGAACTCAGTTAAAGACTTTACTGTTATATTTGCTAAACGTTTTCAAAGTCGATATAGTTTTATATTGCTTGAGTATCTGAACAATATATCAAAGCATTAACTTATCCAATGCAAGTAGAGTTTTGTTCTAACACATTTTGCTGAATAATTACTTCATTCTCCTCAGAATCCTAGATAGAAAACAGGTAGCTTGTTCAATATTATATATTAATTATACATTTATTTACTTTCGAATAAACAATTTACTTTCATTTTGCATTCACATATACATGCTTTACCGCTATGAATTTATTTGTATTAGATTAAAAATGGGCATGGTTGATCAGTAATCTTTGCAAAAGCTGTTCAGTCTAAACTTAGATAGGTAAAATAAACAATTGTTGTGCATCGGTTTTATGATCATCAGTAATTTGATACAAACGTATGTGTTAATGTGATTGTCCTCAATACGATATTACGTCCTTGCTACGTGCTCCTGTCGAATATTTGTTATAGGAGCTGATTAAAAGGTAAAGACGATTCCATAAGCGCAATATAGACATTAAGAACAGGTGAGGTTCTTGATATTATACAGGAAGACAAGATAAGACTTTATTACTCGGAATGTTCAAGGTTATAAAATATGAGGTATATAAAAAAGTGAACAAGAATATAGCGTGTAAAGGCATTATATAATATGTTGTATGGATTGCATGATCTTAGCAATTGAAAATATTATTTTAAGATTAGTAAGTCACCTGTATTGAATAAGTTTATCAAAGTTAGTCCCGGGAGTGTCAACAATGAGGTATACATTTTTGTCTTTCATCCTCAAAATAAGAACATTAAAGAAGATGTTCTTTCCCTAGTTTTCAACGACTGATAGCGTGTGCAATATATTTCGTTAAAGAAAACCATAATGCGCCTACTAGTTTGAAAGTGACACTCATTGTTGCCTAGTCTAAACTTAATTAAAATTTGAATATATATTTCTGGAAACTACAAAAAAACCTTTTCTATATCCAAACAAGACTTAAATAACCAGAAATTAAAGATTTGGGATGACTTATTGATATTACTTGACCAAGCTTGTATGTATAGACATATAGTCGAGGCTTTAGAGAATTTGTTAACCATTTAATTGAGACAAAACTTAGATTTATCCATACATACTGTGATCTATGATCCTCTAATATAGATTTTCTCGCAATGACCATTTACTGCCATAAATGTATCACTTGTTAGCATAAGAGCGAATATATACAGCACGATGCTTTTTCTTCATAACCACTAATCAATCTGGCCCACCAGTTTATCATGAGAGAGTTATTGTTTATAATTAAGAGTAAATGACCAACGCAGTACCGAGATAAATTCAAAAGCGCATAACTGTATTAGGGCACATCAATTCAACTAGGTTATAATATGCCATGATAAGTAGAGCAAAGTGTACTGCCCATAACCACACCACATTAGAGATTTAGTGACCTCCGATTATATGATTCCAAATCAGAGACATTTCGGTAGCAATGATGGCAGGATAACCACTGATCTGACGTGGCTCTTGCCTCCAGTACCGGTCTCTTGCAGCATGCTTTACAGCGTCTGTAGACTAAACAACATTAGCCAGACAACGCTGGTAAAATTAAAACTACTCTGTAGTTTCGTACAATAAAGAAATAATACATGAATTCGACGGAGCCTATAGACATTGTTCTGTGATTGATTTTGCTATGGTATATGCTGATTTGTAAATATAACGGCATCAAATCATTTCTTTAAGTTTTATTCCAGCGAATATCGCGTGTTCCCTATATTATGCTTCATAAACTAAGACATGACTGGTACATTATTATCATCAATGGATTTTTTAGTAAAATAGATCAACATCAAAAGCGATATCCGGGACAGTCGAAAATAATGTCACAGAAATTCGATTTTTCCCCCTGGTTCGATTCCAGGCCAAGTCATTCCAAAATCTTATTAAAATTAAACTATCTGCTGCCTTGCTTGACGCTCGGCACTAAGAGGTTAGTGTTATCACTGGTCGACCTGGTGTTAGGATAATGTGACGGTGGGAACATATTGATACATGTCTGCCGCACGATGGTAGCATCACTATAATCTGTCACACTTCAGACATCGTAGCGATATGACAGTTAATGCTACGTTTAAAATCCAAATCGCACACATACACGCATTTTAATGTGACAATGGAAGAAAATATATCCACTGCATGATAACAGTTAATGGCATAAATTAAAATTTATTGCTTCAAACTATCCATAAACATGATAAAGTAAGTGTTGTCAAGATGATTCACAAAATCTATATCACGACTGGCAGCGATGCTAGGAAACTGAAGAAGAAATATGCCGTACAATTTCAACCCTTACATGTCTCTTGTCCTGTTCCGCTTATCATTTCAGTGTAAACGTGAGAAGCACTTAATAAGAGAGACTTGTGGTCGACCAATTTTTATAATTGACTAATGTGATTATGCCAACAGCATACTACAATAGGATCTCTACGAACGAAATCAAATAAATTCATGTAACTGTTTCATAAAACAAAAGTAGAAGAAATAGAAGAAAACCATAACGAAATCGGTGAGAAATATAATTATTGTAGCCTTGTGTATATACCAATGAGCAGCAAGATCAAGACACCTTGTGTGAACGTGGAGGTAAAGTTCTTCCATTTGAAAGGTATGGAGCTAAATCGACACAAATTCATTTTTATTTATACGATATAACGACACAATGTACCAGATCAATGTAATTAAATATATTTTGGACACCGTCAAAGGAAACTCAAGCCCTGTATATTTTGGGTAATGAATCTCATTTTCATAACATTGTTTGCATCTAAATTATTGAAATTAGATTTGCATATCAACGATATAATAATTAGATACTTCATTATCTTCTTATCATATTATTTACAGTTGGCCAAATAGTCTAAAGTGTTGTTTTGTTTTTGTTCTACGCCAATCAAAGTAGGGCAACAAATAGACGATGGCCATTAACCTAGTGTGTGTTCATGAAGAAAGTTTACCCAAATTTGTAAAGGTTTGACACATGTACCCCATTTACAGATATAGAGTGTTAGCAAAACATCAGTGAATATTTAAATGATCAGAATAAAACAGCAAAAAATAGATAATAGCAGAATCTAGATCGGATAGGACCAGGAATGTGGACAGTACTTGTGGGCCCTAGGACAAATTATCAAGTAGGCCTCTATCAATTAGAAACAGAAACAGTAGCAGACCCACTGACTGTTGTGGTCCCCTGGAATTTGTCCTACCCTGTCAGCGCTCCCGGATAGGACGCAAAAAGATGGGTGTTCTATTTCTGAAAGGAGAGTGGTGGGTGGACGATTTTATTATGTGTCCAGAATTACATTTTGGGCACATCTACGTGTAATTCACTTAACCCATCAGGACTATATACGCGCTTAAACTTCAAGGTTTACAAATATCTTTTAAACATAGAATTAGTTTCATATTGGATGATGTGTCCACAACAAAGAGCTTACTTGTACTGTTTTTAATAACTGTCCATTGCACATGTATGGCACGAAGAACGAGCTCGTTATTATTATCCATGATTATTTAACAAGTTCACAAAGTAAAGAGAGAGAGAGAGAGAGAGAGAGAGAGAGAGAGAGAGAGAGAGAGAGAGAGAGAGAGAGAGAGAGAGAGAGAGTGAGTGAGAGAGAGAGAGAGATTGCATTGCTAACAAACGTGTGTATTATGTGCAGTTTGGGGAGTTCACATTCATTTAAATTTCATTAAGTCACAGGCATACCTGTGAGGAATATGATTGTTTGATATGTGATGTGTCTATTTTGTGTTCATTGTTGGCTGCTGGTGAGAAACGTTAACTTGTTTATTAGCAGATTATTTATTATTATGTGTGTTTGTGTGTGGGGAGATGAGTCAATATGCAGTAACACAAATTGCAAGCTCCCATTTACTGTTAACAAATCCTTGAGGAAAACATTGTTCAACTAAATATTCTCAGGCTGGCATATTACTCTTTACAACTATCTGCAGCGTTCTATATTGACAATTTTTCTACTCACATAAGACTTGTAGCTCACTTGAGGTTTTCTACGTAAAATGCGCAAGACCGTACTGAATGCTTCTATTGGATAAGCTTGACAGCTCAACATAGTATCGGAAAATGATCTATTGATCACTGTTATCGATCGAACCTCTGATTGGGTTAGAGTTGATATATGAAAATACTTTACAGTGTGTTTTTTCGGAATTTCCCGTCTCTTCTGTCGACAGTTATACTGGTTGCTGTATATAGCCTATCAACCGATAACAATAAAAAAAATCCCTGTCTTTCGGTTGTGTTTCTTTTTCACTGTCTTATTTATATTACACCATGATAAATTTGTGCAGTATGCCACTTTGATCGTTTTTATACTTGTCTGTTCGTAGTGTAATGTATTAGCAATGGAGTTTTATTCTGTTCTGCTATGTTAATGGCATAGAAACTATTTTAACCATTAAGTACAACAATTCTAATTAACTGAGACTGGTTACAGTAGAATGGAATATGTTTATGCTCTGAAACTTACATTAAAATGAGATTCACAATGCCTCACAAACGCTTCGATGGCCTAGTGGTTAGAGCGCCCGCCTCTGATTCGAGAGGTTGTGGGTTCTATCCCCGATCGAGTCATACCAAAGACTTACAAAAATGGTACAAACAGCTGCCTCGCTTGACGTTCAGCATTAAGAGGTTAGTGTTAGGACTGGTCGGTCTGGTGTCAGGATAATATTTCTGGGCGGGACATCATGCTACTTATCTGCGGCATGATTCCCAGTGCTAGACATCGCTTTACACTGCCACACTACAGACATCGTAGCCATTTGACTGATAAAATTGTTAAAGCTACGTTATAAATCATAATCACATCATATCACAATGACTCATCGATGCCAATCTACGTGAAAGTTTATATCTAATGTTTACAAATTTATGTCGATCACCTAATTTCTTGTTATGATCAATATTCAAATAATTTCAACTAAATAGGAAAGTAAATCTACATTAAAGAAACTGTCGAGTATTCAATTTTTTTTCAATGGAGTCAGTCTTGAATATCACTCTTACAGTACTTTATTCATTAGTGTCTGGATAAAGGAAGTATAATACAAGACCCATGTATAGAGTTTCCATCTATACATACTCATATCACTAAGAAGATGGCAATATAAAGTGAATTGTTCGTACATGTAGGTTTGATATAATAGCTGTGCTCTAGGTTTTTTTTATAGTAACATTGCGAGTTTTATGCAGTGATATTTAGTATGTAATTATATTCTTCAGGTATAATTTTTAAACAAAAAACTCCACCCCAGCTTGCACACACACAAAATATAGTTACGAAAACAAAGGGAAAACGAAAGGGAAGGAAAATAAATCAACGTGATGGGCTATACGTCGTAAGAGTTGCAAATACGTCGTAATAGTTACAGATTCAATCAATACTCTATTAATATGTATTGTTCTAGGCATGGAGGTCAGTGCAATACCTTTGCGGACTGAAGATTTAGCTGCATACAGTGTTAGATAATGTTAGCAAAGAAAAACAAAATAAATGTTCACAGTATTATGTAAGGTCAAACTTCCTTGATATCACACGGGTATTTTATCTAACAACTTGTGGTGGAAACTATAGTGTTCCAATATCCTATCATATTCCAGACAATTCGGGATGTATGAGGTTTAATAGTATTTTATTACTCTCTTTTAGTTTAATACGTGTAAATATTTTTTGGATATATATATATATATATATATATATATATATATATATATATATATATATATATATATATATATATATAGATAGATAGATAGATAGATAGATGCAATAAACTGACGACGAACAGTACGAAACTAGTAACTAACTAGCCTAAGCGCTTTCGACTCTTAATGATGAGTCTTTTTCAAAGGCAAATACAAAACATAGTTACGACAAACAAATAAACACAAAAACGTTGTGTTTGTAAACCTCTACATTTCTGTCTTCACATGTGCTAAAACTATAAATACAACCAGCTTGTATAGACTAGTTGCGGAAACTGAAAACGTTGTATAATTCTCTAAAAGTCTACAAGCCAAAGCGACATCTATTTTTACTTTGTGTACATATGTAACGCAGATTATATCCCGGATATTTGATTTTATACCGGTTATTCTTATAGTAAAAATTGAAGGATAATAAGAAGATTTAGAAAATGTTAAATTCTACTTCCGAACAAACCTGTAGTAGCTTACCGAAGACCAAAAAACCTAAAGGACATCCTAGTCAGGGCCAAGCTAACAACAATCGCTAGTCAAAACCAACCTAGTCAATCTGGACCCTGTGGCGATAAAAGATGCAAAATCTGTCAACATATGATAGAGACCAAGACATTCACTAGCACAGTGACTAAAGAAAAACTAAACATACATGGTCCAAACAAAACGTGCAAAACAGAGAATGTGATTTATCTCATCACATGTAAGATCTGTGGCCTTCAGTACGTGGGAGAAACTGAAAAGCTACACATAAGGATAAACCTTCATAGATCTGATTGGATGACAAAAAAGCTGTACAGACGCCCGGTCGCAGAACACTTCTCCTCCCCTGGCCACACTTTCAGTGATATAATACTTATCGCTATTGCTAACAACCACAGCTGGAGTTCCGAAACCAGGAAGGAAAAGGAATCGTACTGGATACGCCGCCTTAGAACATTGAAACCAAGCGGTCTAAACCAAGAAGACTAGAAAATGAAAACTATGCACTAGTAGAATTTAACATTTTCTAAATCTTCTTATTATCCTTCAATTTTTACTATAAGAATAACCGGTATAGAATCAAATATCCGGGATATAATCTGCGTTACATATGTACACAAAGTAAAAATAGATGTCGCTTTGGCTTGTAGACTTTTAGAGAATTATACAACGTTTTCAGTTTCCGCAACTAGTCTATACAAGCTGGTTGTATTTATAGTTTTAGCACATGTGAAGACAGAAATGTAGAGGTTTACAAACACAACGTTTTTGTGTTTATTTGTTTTTCGTAACTATGTTTTGTATTTGCCTTTGAAAAAGACTCATTAAGAGTCGAAAGCGCTTAGGCTAGTTAGTTACTAGTTTCGTAATTGTTCGTCGTCAGTTTATTGCATCTATTTTAATTAATCCCTGACAAACGTGATCCTTTGGTGGATCCAGTACGCTTGAGAGGGTTGTTATTCGCCATATGATTTGTATTCTTTATATATATATATATATATATATATATATATATATATATATATATATATATATATATATATCAATATGAAACAAACATATTCCACAAAAATACAAATATACATTTATACAAATTTATCTTTATTATTGGGTGCAAAGATATAAAAAACATTTATAACAAGAAAGTTGTGGTGCGTTTAGTCTTTTTAAGTTTCATGGAATGGAATATTTTATATTGTTTTAAAAATACGTTTCAGTGGAATAATTCTAGTATTCTGAAATGGACCTAAACTTTATGATTAATGTTCTTTAAAACTAGTCTTGATAATTTAATTCATATACTGCCTCAAAATGAAATTAGCCCGGTCTCTGATAACATAAATAGTAAGAATACTAATTTTGATGGTCTGTTTTGCTATAAAAAAAATGGAACCCAAGCGAAATACTGAACGGAATACCAATCTTCTGCCACTTGGCATGTTTGTTGTACTTAAATCACATTTTCTCTTGGTGCAAAATATTTATTACTGTATGCATATCTACATAATAGATAGTTTTGAGGTTATCCTCAAACAATGTAGGGAATATATACGTAATGACATCTTAATGTGCATTAGTAATAGAAACAACTTACTGAGAAGCTTTATACTGAACTAGCATTTAGTTTCTTAATATGTTATAGAATAGGGTTGAAAGTATTAAATTATTCAGAATAACAGCGCAATAATTATGAGGTATGTTTCTTCGTGATTGCAGCTCTTTCCCAAATGAATATTATATCAGATGTATTTAACAAGGTTATGGTATAACCGTTTTGCCATATACATATCTTACCGTTTCTTCGATGAACTACAAAACTGTGCTATATTATGAAGATATTTTTTTGTTATCAGTATGGTGATTTTAAACTTGTATAAAGTATCTATCTCTCTCTCTCTCTCTCTCTCTCTCTCTCTCTCTCTCTCTATATATATATATATATATATATATATATATATATATATATATATATGTTTACTGCAGTAATAGGAGAAAGTGGTTATGTACGACATACCTCAAGCAAGTTCCTTTAGAAATACTATCCAATCTTGAATCATCGTATTTGAAGAAAGAAGAAAAAGTACTTGCGTTATATATGTACACCACTGGCAAATATCAGATCTTGTTTACTTATCTGCTACCTAGTTTGTCTTCTTGTACTCTAGACCTGCTCTGATATAGACTAAATTTTAATATAGATACAAACATATTTACAATTCATGTATATCACACGTCAAATTACCTATTTCAAATCAAATGTCATGTTATGCAACTATGCAAACATGAACTGACATGAATTATAAACCACATTGCAATAGGTAAGAGATAGTCGGGTACATGTATGTAAATGTATGTGTAGATATTAGTGGAATATATTGATCGGTATTGGGTTAGTTTCTTTGGCACAGTTAATATGGACGTGGTTCGTCTCAAAGCTGGAATAGGCAAGTGTGGTAGGATCTCTCAAGGACAATGGTGACATATTGATACAAAGAAATGCCTGAAACTGGAGTTATAAGTTAATATAACACCCGATATTTCCATTTCTAGATATTTTAACAGGTCTTTTCTCATCAAAATAATATCTTCGCTTCCATAACTATATATATTTAATTATCTACATGTTAATGAAATCTGAAAAAAATTCTTCAAATCTGGTAATGTAAATGAAACCGTCTCATCTTCAATCTAAGTTAACAAGCACACACACACAAACACACACACACACACACACTCACACACAATGGCAGGTGAAGGCCATTACAATTTCATAAACACAACATAGTATATAACTCGAAGTCATATTTGTATGAAACATGTGAACACTCATCGTCCTGGTTTGTTCTGTTTGCATGCTATAAATACATAATGCGCTTGCATTTTGTTGGAAGACCCATAATACATTATTAACTGGTCGGAGTTATGTTATCAGTTAAGTCAGTGATCAGTCCAACTGTGCTCTGAAATGTGTCAACGCTAAAATTAAAGACGCACATAATGCTGATCCTGTCCGCTTTCTCTACTGCTGGCAATGTAAAGATTGTGTAGAAGTACATTATACGACCATAATAATCTTAATAGGTTTTTTTTGTGTGAATAGCAAGGAATGGTTGACTCTGGTCACCGTTTAGTAACGGTTCTCAGTGATAGAGACCTTTTGTCAGGGTATAAGGTCTTAAAAAAGGTCCGGTGCAGAAAACATTATTTCCGTATATATTCACCGAGAACATAATTCCTGGCAGTTGGATCCAAAAATACACACAATTCCGTATAACTTTAGGTCCTGATTTTGAACAATGCCTAGATTAACGAACGTATTAGAAAATGAAAATGATTGTGCAAATAATCTCTGATACGTCAACGTAACGTTGAGTTTATGACAACAAAAT